AGTGTCACCCTTAATTTATTGCTCATTTTATAAGTACAATCAGGCCTGAAAATGACACACTTCAGCTTTAATGTTAATAATCAGATAGTTTAGGACGTGTTCTGTGTAAGATCCTGTAAATTACTTTTCCTTTAATCATTTTACTTTTTCAAACTGATTGAGACTTGTAAAACACTGCAATAAAACCGTCAGAATATAATTATGTTGGTCTTCTGCGGCGTCGATCAGGAGCTTTTGACGGACGCGTGTTGTTTCTATTTGTGACGCGACGCCCCGCTTAGTCCCGCCCACAGCGAAATCTGATTGGTCCAAAATCCCGCCATGACGCCCCGCTTCTGCGGAAGACGCGCGTGCGTGTCGCGCACTTCTGACGCGACGGTGTGTGATTCCGTTCGACGCGCGTCTCAGCAGCGCGTCAAAAAACTCAATGGCCGTGACTGAGAAACTGATCCAGAGCGTTCACGCTTACCCGGTGCTTTATAACGTGTCGCTGCACGATTATCGCAGCGCGGAGCGGCGCGTCAAAGCGTGGAGGGAGGTCGCCGCGTCCGTCGGTCTCTCCGGTCAGTGCGTCAACATTACGCGCGTCCTTTCCGTTCCAAGCGCTTGACTTTAAAAGTGTTTTTACTGTTTTGCAGACTTTAAAGATCTCACACAGCAGCATTTACACGCTAGAGACGCGACAAACGAGAACGCGTCCGTCTGAATCAAGCCGCGACGCGGATCGTTGATCATAACGGACGCGTTCTGATTTGACGCGGTATAAACGACGGACAGTGTAATGAAGTTAACAGTTCATTTAGGACGCGTTCTTGAGTCCTAGAAGAGTTATTTGATTAAGATTTCAACTTTTAAAACGCGTGACAGAATAAAGTTCTGATTCAACTCCTGAAGCTTTATGAGCTCTTCATTAATGTAATACAGTCATATTAACAGATCGAAGTATACAATATACACCGTATTGATGATGCATATTTATTTTTTACCATCTTTATTTGACCCTCTAACTCTAGCATTCTCTATTCTAATTCTATTTGATCTATTTGTTGACTTGATCCTCTAACACTTGCTCTCTCTGTTCGTTTTCTATTCTATTCTATTTGTTTTGGTTTTGTTTTATAAATAAATAAATCAATATGCATTGGGCTAACTGAGACTTGTTATAGTTGCATATTATTGCTCTTTTGTTGGTTCTGATTGCTTCTGTTGTCATCATTTATAACTCTGGATAAAAGCATCTGCTAAATGACTAAATGTAAATGTAAACGCATATATTAGATGAACGCAGAATATGAACTAAACGCACATTACGCGTCTTATTTACAATAGTTTTCTATGAGAAAGTATTGCATTCATATTTTGCGCTCATCTGATGGGTTTAATATAAGATGCATCATCAATAACGTGAACTTTTACTATGACTGTCTTATGCAGGAATCATTAGAGTGTTTCTGAGCAGAGAAAATACATGTTTACTGCTTGCTTCACATGAAGAGCCCTTTCTGCTGTTAAACGCTGCAGATGTGAATGTTTGTGAAGGTCCTGCACTGAGTCCGAAACTTTCCTATTCGTCTTCCTTTCCTCAGAATGCTTGCTACTGATGCGAAAACGCAGAAAATCGAACCTGGTCCGAATTTTTTTATGACGGACGAAAGTAAACGTGATTGACACAACGTGAGGGTCGTATTTATTCTTCAACGTGCGAACGTGTGCAGATCCAGCAGATCATGTTTGACGCAGAGTTTAAAGAGCAGCTCTGACTTCTGCAGCTCACTCCAAACATTTCAGCAGCGAAGATGCCTTCTTTCTCTGCATACCTCTGTGTGTGCTGAAATAAACAGCCTCGGCTTTCGTTTAGTTAGTTATTGCTGCAAAAGAGCCTGTTTTGTAAAATATCACACTGCAAGAAAAACTAAAATATGTTCACTACCAGTTTTGAACAGTAAGATTTTTAATGTTTTTTAAATACAATAAACATTTATTATTATTATCAATATTTAAAACAGTTGAGTAAAATTTTTTCAGGATTCTTTGATGAATAAAAAGATCCAAAAATCAGCATTTATCTGAAATAAAAAGCTTTTGAAGTCAGTATTTTTTTAATACAGCTGCGCATCACAGAAATACATTACAGTTTAACAGTTATTCACAGAGAAAACAGCGGTTTTACATTATAATAATATTTCACAATTTTACCGCTTTTGCTGTATTTCTTTAAGTGCATTTCTAAAAATATATTTTCAGCATTAAATGTCTGGTGCAAACTGCCTCGTAATGCATTAATTTCTTCATAATTTTGGGGTATTTTCATAAGAAGCTCAGATGTGCTCCACTTTCATAAAAAACAGGAACTCAAGAAACAAGCATTGTACAGTATTGCACAAAAGAAAGAAATTGTGTGACAGCATAAAGTAAACAAAAACAACGTTCAAAAACACATTTATAATTAGATTTAATCATCACGTGGACAGTCAACATGTGCTTATGCCTCTCACACCGCAAATAATATTTATTTCCCCAATCATTTTCCAAAACCTAAAAAGTTTACATTAGAGATATCGACCTTTTAAATAAATTTGCTTAAGTCTCTATTTAAAAAAACAACAACTTTATTTTGATTATTAAAAGAACAGATGCTCTACTTCAGCCAAAGTTATTTAAAAACAAAAATATGAATTAAAACAAGCTAAAATTAAACGCTGATTACTGTTAGGAAGTACGTTTATGCATTCGTATGATTTTTATACGAGTTTTACTAGCTTTACTACAGTGAGTGGCTTCATTTGGCATCAATAATAGAGAAATAAGACTGGGATTTATTTAAAATCATTTCTGGGAAGAAACCGAACATTATGCATGTCACAGGATCCCTCACAACGCAAGCGCTGCATCTCTTTCACAGAAAAAGAGCTGTTTGCATCCTGCACTACTGTAGGGTTAATCAGCCGTTAGTCCTGCGACACGATCACACAGTTCTTCAGCGTTTAAGCAATCAGCAGCCAGAACATGATGAGGAGCGCCACGAACAGAAAGAGGCGAGACAGAAACTGCTCATCCGCGTGCTGAGGGGTTCCTGGAGCTGCTGCCGGGACACAAACAGAGAAAACGGGTTCAAATCATCAACACTGCTCTTTAACAAAGCATCGCTCTTTTATGGTTCACAGCTCGAGTCAATTACTCCACAGCTGATAAAAACATCACAAGCACTCCAGTCCATCAGTTCAGACAAAAGCTGAAACAAATCCAGCATTAAGACGTTTTTAACTAAAATACATCGAGTTCATAATCCATAATAACTCTTCCTCCAAACCGAACATTATGCATGTCACAGGATCCCTCACAACGCAAGCGCTGCATCTCTTTCACAGAAAAAGAGCTGTTTGCATCCTGCACTACTGTAGGGTTAATCAGCCGTTAGTCCTGCGACACGATCACACAGTTCTTCAGCGTTTAAGCAATCAGCAGCCAGAACATGATGAGGAGCGCCACGAACAGAAAGAGGCGAGACAGAAACTGCTCATCCGCGTGCTGAGGGGTTCCTGGAGCTGCTGCCGGGACACAAACAGAGAAAACGGGTTCAAATCATCAACACTGCTCTTTAACAAAGCATCGCTCTTTTATGGTTCACAGCTCGAGTCAATTACTCCACAGCTGATAAAAACATCACAAGCACTCCAGTCCATCAGTTCAGACAAAAGCTGAAACAAATCCAGCATTAAGACGTTTTTAACTAAAATACATCGAGTTCATAATCCATAATAACTCTTCCTCCAGTGAAAAAGTGCATCTCCTGTTGTCTCTCACATCAAAATCCAGCTGTTTATTCTGCATTGTTATACATAGGAACACCCTAGCAACCACCCCAAGTGCCCTAGCAACCACATAACAACACCCTAGTAACCACCCTGATTACCCTAGCAACCACCCGGGGTACCCTAGCAACCATCCTGGGTTCCCTAGCAACCACATAACAACATCCTAGTAACCACCCTGATTACCCTAGCAACCACCCTGGGTACCCTAGCAACCATCCTGGGTTCCCTAGCAACCACATAACAACATCCTAGTAACCACCCTGATTACCCTAACAACCACCCTGGGTACCCTAGCAACCATCCTGGGTTCCCTAGCAACCACCCCGAGTACCCTAGCAACTGCCTAGAAACACTCTAGCAACCGAGTGCCGAGTTTTGCCACGGCAAGCACCACTCACATTTTTTCAGAAAAACGTACATATATGCATCAGGGTGATTCTATAATTGCAGGTACATTTGGTGTCCGAAGTCATTATTTTTTTTCAAATGGTTACATTTTTAATAATTTGTTACTTATTGTTATGAATTACAAGATGTTACAGTCAATTACAATATAATAATTTGTGTAAAAAGTGTCTTAACTCAAAATCATGATTTCGTTGTCTGAATTAGTCAGTGCATTTTTTCCATCATGTATCATCGTGTAATCAAAATATTTTATTGTACTTTTCTTTTTGTAATATTTCATTAATTTTATTTATAAAAGCGCGAAATACTCATTTACTTAATTCTACAACTTTAAATAGTTTGAAAACTACTTTTTTCTTATAAAAATGTGCGTCCATACATCTTGCGTCAACTCTGTTACCGTACCATATTTTGGCTTTAAATGGAATTTTGGAGTGGAATTATCTCCCACAGCTATGTAGGATACAGGACATGATGTCACTGTCCCTGACTGATAAGAGCTGAAGCACTGAAAAGTCTGTGTGCTCTCTCTGAGAAAATATTTTAATCTAAAAAAGTTATTTTGAAGAACGTCAACACTGTTACCATTGGGTTATTTAAAGGTCTTTTAATCATGACACATTTATAATTAGATTTAATCATCACGTGGACAGTCAACATGTGCTTATGCCTCTCACACCGCAAATAATATTTATTTCCCCAATCATTTTCCAAAACCTAAAAAGTTTACATTAGAGATATCGACCTTTTAAATAAATTTGCTTAAGTCTCTATTTAAAAAAACAACAACTTTATTTTGATTATTAAAAGAACAGATGCTCTACTTCAGCCAAAGTTATTTAAAAACAAAAATATGAATTAAAACAAGCTAAAATTAAACGCTGATTACTGTTAGGAAGTACGTTTATGCATTCGTATGATTTTTATACGAGTTTTACTAGCTTTACTACAGTGAGTGGCTTCATTTGGCATCAATAATAGAGAAATAAGACTGGGATTTATTTAAAATCATTTCTGGGAAGAAACCGAACATTATGCATGTCACAGGATCCCTCACAACGCAAGCGCTGCATCTCTTTCACAGAAAAAGAGCTGTTTGCATCCTGCACTACTGTAGGGTTAATCAGCCGTTAGTCCTGCGACACGATCACACAGTTCTTCAGCGTTTAAGCAATCAGCAGCCAGAACATGATGAGGAGCGCCACGAACAGAAAGAGGCGAGACAGAAACTGCTCATCCGCGTGCTGAGGGGTTCCTGGAGCTGCTGCCGGGACACAAACAGAGAAAACGGGTTCAAATCATCAACACTGCTCTTTAACAAAGCATCGCTCTTTTATGGTTCACAGCTCGAGTCAATTACTCCACAGCTGATAAAAACATCACAAGCACTCCAGTCCATCAGTTCAGACAAAAGCTGAAACAAATCCAGCATTAAGACGTTTTTAACTAAAATACATCGAGTTCATAATCCATAATAACTCTTCCTCCAGTGAAAAAGTGCATCTCCTGTTGTCTCTCACATCAAAATCCAGCTGTTTATTCTGCATTGTTATACATAGGAACACCCTAGCAACCACCCCAAGTGCCCTAGCAACCACATAACAACACCCTAGTAACCACCCTGATTACCCTAGCAACCACCCGGGGTACCCTAGCAACCATCCTGGGTTCCCTAGCAACCACATAACAACATCCTAGTAACCACCCTAACAACCCTAACAACCACCCTGGGTACCCTAGCAACCATCCTGGGTTCCCTAGCAACCACCCCGAGTACTGCCTAGAACCACCCTGATTACCCTAACAACCACCCTGGGTACCCTAGCAACCATCCTGGGTTCCCTAGCAACCACCCCGAGTACCCTAGCAACTGCCTAGAAACACTCTAGCAACCGAGTGCCGAGTTTTGCCACGGCAAGCACCACTCACATTTTTTCAGAAAAACGTACATATATGCATCAGGGTGATTCTATAATTGCAGGTACATTTGAATATAATAATTATAATAATTTGTGTAAAAAGTGTCTTAACTCAAAATCATGATTTCGTTGTCTGAATTAGTTTTTCCATCATTTCCATCATGTATCATCGTGTAATCAAAATATTTTATTGTACTTTTCTTTTTGTAATATTTCATTAATTTTATTTATAAAAGCGCGAAATACTCATTTACTTAATTCTACAACTTTAAATAGTTTGAAAACTACTTTTTTCTTATAAAAATGTGCGTCCATACATCTTGCGTCAACTCTGTTACCGTACCATATTTTGGCTTTAAATGGAATTTTGGAGTGGAATTATCTCCCACAGCTATGTAGGATACAGGACATGATGTCACTGTCCCTGACTGATAAGAGCTGAAGCACTGAAAAGTCTGTGTGCTCTCTCTGAGAAAATATTTTAATCTAAAAAAGTTATTTTGAAGAACGTCAACACTGTTACCATTGGGTTATTTAAAGGTCTTTTAATCATGATTTCATTAGTGCCATGTGCACTTAGCATGCATGCTAGCGCGTGGTAAAGTAACGTTGTCAACTCTGTTACCGTCCAACTCTGTTACCAAGGTAGAGTAACAATGCTGACAATAGTGTAACAGAATTGACAGTCCACCAGATAATTCTGTCAGTTCTGTTACTTAAAGTGTCAACTCTGTTTATGAACTATTTTCACACAAAAAAAAATACAATTGTTGTTTAAAATCTCATAAACATTACTGAGATATTATGCACCCTTATAATAGTTCAACAACATTTATTTTTTGTTTTTACTGGATATTGTATATAATACATTTTCAGATTAAAAATATTTGCTCCAAGTGGACAATTCTGTGAAGACATAGGTATTTTTTTTTATTTTTAAGGTATGCATAGATGAAATATTATCTCTGTTCCAAATGTTGGAATGTAAGGACTGTTTGATACAAGAAGGATTTTTCCTTTTATGATTTATTGTTATTTCTACTTCACATTGCCTAATTTGTCCGTAACAGAGTTGACAAACAATGCCATAAAGACATCTGTTTTTTCATTAAAAGTAAAAAAAGGAAGTAACTTGTCTTTTGCAAGCACTGAATATGTTATTAAAATTGAATATGTTTTCAATAAGATACTGGAAAGAATTTCTGTTAGTGAATAGTTTTTTTTCTTAACTTTATGAAATGACAAATGTATCTCCAATTATAGAATCACCCATAAACATAAAAATGGTTAAAGTCAGGATAAACTTCTGTGTTGTGACGTACATCTGAGTGCAACAGATTATTATTAAAGAATAAATGTAGGGCGGGGCTTGGTTCTGTGCATCAGCTGTTGATTGGATGTTGAGATGTGGGCGTGGCTCTCAGAAATGTATGCAGATGAGCTTAAGCTTGCAGGGGCGGAGCTTAAGAGACTAAATGACTGGAGAAGTGCTGCATATGGCATCTTCACAGAAATATGCAGTTATGGATTGTTCATTAAACCTTACAAAGTCAAAAAAAAACATGCACGGGTGAATTGTTCTTAATAAAATCTATAACATGCATGAAGAATTTCTCTTTGTATTTTCTTGACGTTTAGTGATATCATTCACCCAATCATGTGTTCATGCAAGCATCTTTCACAGGTTCAGCACACACCTGGAGGCGGTCGTCCGTCATTGATATTAAACGCTGTAGCGAAGATCCCGAAAGGAAAAGCCCCGATACCGAAAGACATCTGGAAGCCTCCATCGCCGAAGCCGAAGCCCTGAAACCCCTGCAAACACATTAACACTGCATTATATTACACTTACATCAGATTTATTACTTAAAAAAGAAATTACATTTACATCATCTGTGTCATTCCAAACTGTTCTTTCATTTCTGGAACATGAAAGATTAATAAGTAAATACATCTAAGAATAATCTGGCCACTGTTTATATATCAAGAGTTAATTTGCATAAACAGATAACTTCGTTTTTAACAATTTATAAAGATTTTGTGCATTCCAATTAATCTCAGTCAAACTGCAGTCGGGTTATTTTGATCAGGTAAAAAATAACTAAAAATACAGCTAACACAAAAAAAACCGAGTTATCTGTTTTTGCAAATAACGAATGAGTTGAATAATGAATAGGGACCGACACGGTCAAACGCCAAAATTACAAAAGTCATGCATATGCTCTGGAACAGAGTAATATCGCGTCCATATCGCAGGCTTTGCGATTAGGAAATCGCAACATGTCAAATCGCGATTTCGATTCGATTTCGATTAATCGCACAGCCCAAATACAAATCCTTGCAAAGCAGCTTTACAGAAAATTATGTTTCTACAATATATATTATATATATTGTAGCGGCTATATAATACAATATATTTATATATCATGCAGTTAGTTACAAGTTACACGTAATCAAACAGACGGTGAACACTATTAACTGCAATGATTATTATGATAGATTGCGATTATGCACAATTTGGTAGTTTTAAATGTTGTTCCATGGTTAGCATCAAAAACAAAATAAAAGCATGAAAAAAGCAGCACCTCTGAATTGGATTTGTTTATGAACAGCTCCAAACGATCACATGCATGTTTGATCCCGGAATAATCAATTAAATGTGGGTCACCTGACGACTTTGAATAGCATCAGCTCCTCGTCTGAGAGTTTAATGGTGGTTTTTGCTCTGTTTACTGTCGAGCAGCGTGAACATTCTGCTAAACGTCTCTGTTTGTGTGCCACTAACACACGAGTCTGAACAACATGAGAGCCAATAGATGATGACTGCATTCTCATTTAGAGGAAAACTAGATTTTTTTTATATTTGCATACTACAATCGAGTAAATAATCCTTATGCAAGACCTTCAGGAGTTGAGAGAGAGCAGAATGTGATGCAATCTTAAAGGTCAGATGTTGTCATCGCACCACTGAGCTCTTTCCAGCTTCTGTCCTTAATAAGCCCCGGCGGGACGCTCGTTTGACTAATGAATTATCTACAGGTAGGCACTAAAGCAACCGCCGTCATCCACGTAACCGTTTCATCACAAACGTCTTGTGCAATGATACACGCCACATTGCAAACGCTTTTATCAGCTTTGATGGGATATACATTTCAAAAACTGTGCAATTCTGAGAAATAAAGTCAGAACTGCGAGATATAAACTCGCAATTCCGAGAAAAAAGAAAGAAATGCGTGATATAAACTCGCAATTGCGAGACAAAGTCGCAATTATGAGAAATAAAGTCAGAACTGCGAGAAAAAAAGAATTGACTTATTTCATGTACTTGGGATGGTTGCTAGGGTGCTTGGGGTGGTTGCTAAGGTGTTGTTATGCGGTTGCTAGGGTAATCAGGGTGGTTGCTAGGGTGTTGCTATGTGGTTGCTAGGGCACCCAGGGCTGTTGCTAGGGTGTTGCTATGCGGTTGCTAGGGTAATCGTGGTGGTTGCTAGGGTGTTGCTATGTGGTTGCTAGGGTACTTGGGGTGGTTGCTAAGGTGTTGCTATGCGGTCATTGTCTTTTTTTTTAAATTCGCGTAGAAACAATTTTTACTCAGAGATTGATAGTAAATTTCACAAAACATTACAAAGAAACGGCAAGCAATTTTGACGTAGAAAGACTGAAATAGAATTTTCTAGTAAAACATCCTCCAATAATCTGTTTTATTTACAGCAAGAAAAAAAAAAATAGAAAAGCTTATGAGCCTGCTTATATTGAGTAACAATGACAATAATTCTCAATGTGCAGCTAGTTTATTTTGTAAGAGAAAATGACACTCACGCCACGGTTCTCTGGTTCTGGCCGCTGTCCTTGCGGTCGCGGAGGAGTCCTCTCTCTGAAATCATAAAGAAAATTCACTTTATGTTTTATATTTCAATCAATGGTGTACTGGTGTGTATATATCACAAGTCAAATCACATTCATTTCTACAGCGCTTTATACAACATAGATTGATTCGACAAGTTAATCAACATGAAAATAACTGTTAATGTTGTGAAATTCATCAATTATGAAACAAATTCGATTTCAGCTGTCAAGCAGCAATAAAGAAGACAACAGTGCCCGTGTTCATCAATTATGAAATGAATTTAATTCAGTGTTATTTTAGTATCACTGAGATACTATTAATAGTTTTTTTATGTTTTTGTTTTCATTTTACTTAAAGATTTAGTAATTTTGTTGTGTTTTTGTCATTTTTATTATTATTCTATTTTTTTAAATATGTCTATTTATTCCAGTTGTAGTTATTTTTTTTAAGTAATTGTTTATTTTATTTTTTTTAGCACATCAAGTTAAAGTAAATTAAACTGAGAAATGTTTCCTTGGCAATTAGTTGAAATAATTTTTTTTTTTTTTTTTTTAAATATTTTGTTTCAGTTAGCATTTATTTTATTTCAAACAATGCTTTTTTTAATGATTTTAATTTTAGTTTTAGTATTAGTATTAGTTAACTATAATAACTCTGGTTAAGGAAATTAAGGGAAATATATATATATATATATATATATATATATATATATGCACATATATATACACA